TCATGACACGCACACAACTCTTCCTCTCTCACTCTCTCACTCTCACCCAACTCACACGTACACACATCACAACACGCACATCCACACATACATGTACATCACATCCACGCACAAACAACCAAACATACACGTGCACAGGTCCACACCGTTCAAGCCGGAACTGATCAAGTCCAAGTTCAATCACATCTTCGCTGTCGTCTCGCTGCTGCCAGACCACAGATACAGTCTCAAGGTGCGGGCATCTCAACTTGCTTTTCGCGCTGGCGGGGGGTGTGTAGTGTGTGTGTGTGCGTGTGCGTGTGTGTGTGCTTGTTGTGTTTGCTTGAGAGACGTGGGGACATGCAACTTGCTGTGTATTGTGTGCTGTGCGTTGACTGCCTTTCGTATTCGCTTGGCAACCACTCCGCACCCCCCAATGACGCTCCCCAAACGTCTCATTCATACCCCTGCTACACATCACTCCACCTCCAACTCAAGGTGTACACGAAGGCGAATGTGCCGGAATACGGCCCCGCACTGCCAAATCCAGCCGTGTTTTCAGACATGAAGGAGCTCAGGAAGTTTCTGCTGGTCAAACGTGAGAAGACATTTCATGCAGTGACGGTCATCCGTGTGTGTGTGCGTGTGTGTTTACGTGTTTGTGTGTTTGTGTGTTTGTGTGTGTGTTCAGCGTGTGTTTGTGTGTGTGTGTATGTGTGTGTGTGTGTGTTCAGCGTGTGTGTGTGTGTTCAGCGTGTATGTGTGTGTGCGTGCGTGCGTGTGTTTTGAATGCGATAATTGTGAGCGCTGATTGCTCGATCATGCACACCTGCGTACACACACAACAAACACACTCACACGCTCATTCACTGACTCGCTCGCTCGCTCGCCCCCTCTGAATGCACAGTGATGAACGGAGAGAAGGCGGCACTGGCGTCACCAACGGCGTCGTTCGCCACCAAGAAGGAGCGCACCCTTGAAGCTCTTATCTCAGATATCATCGATCCACAAGCAACATGTAAGGGGCGTGGGAACCGAGCACCTCTTCATGCTGTGGTGTCCTGCGCTGTGTTGTACGTGTTGACGTCTGCCTGTCAGTGATTGCTCACATCCGCGCTGCACTGCACTGCACTGCACTGCACCGCCCACCACCACCGCCATCATATGTCACCCATCTCATCCATGCACGCGTCCATTCACCACCACCGCCATCATCCTCGAACAGCGACGTCACTGCGAACGCCGTCGCGCACGAGCAAGAAATCGTCCCGCTTCTCCAAGCACGTCTCCAGCTCAACCCACCTCGATGAACTCAGGCTCGCCGGCCAGGTGTGTGAACATGTGTGGGTACGTGCGTACGTGTATTTGTGTGTGTGTGTGCGTACGTGCGTGTGCGTGCGTGCGTACGTGTGTGTGCGTGCGTACGTGTGTGTGTGTGTGTGTGTAAGTGTGTACGTGCGCGCGCGTGCGTGTGTATGAGTGACAGCGAGCACATGTGAGTGAATGCAAATTCATCTGTGATCCAAGCTGCGCTCTGTTCCATTCTCTCTTCACCATTCTTCGCCATCTCGTCGCGACTATCATCCCGATTCCAGGCCATCAAAGTAGACAAAATCAGGGCTGGCGTCGCTCCCACCAGCACGCTCTCACTCTCCGACGACACATCCGCTGGCGAGGTAATCAATCCAAACACGCACACGCACACACACACACACACACACACGTACACACGCACACACACACACATGCACACATGCACATGCACACGTACACACGCATACACAGGCACACACGCATGCACACATGCATACACACGCACACACGCGCACACGTACTGTCCACTTACCACACCTCTTACCTCACCTCAACCCTCTTCTCACCTGTTGCTCCTTCGCTGCCATTCCACCGCTTTCGTCTTCGCTTCAACTTTTGCCGTTTTCAGCCGTGGGAGGCCGTGTTCATCACGCGCTCGTTCACAGAGCCGGTCATGTGCGGTGATCAGTGGAACAGCAATCTTGTCGTCGGCACACTCACGGGCGTGAAGCTCATCTCAGTTGGTGCGTGCATACATTCGTGTGCATGTGTGTGTGTGCGTGTGCGTGAGGGAAGCTGTGAGCGCGTGTGTAATGCTATGTGATGAGTCTGCTGTTGTGGTTATCGTGCGCATGCAAATTTTTGCGGAAGCACACGCACATACTGAAACATACATGCACATACACATACACATACACACGCATTCATGTTCATGTGCATGTTGGCGACTTGCGCCACCCCGCCTTTGTTTGGGCGTGCATGGTGTTATGTGTTCTGGCTCCGCAGAGAAACACACTGCGGGGAAGTTGGATGTGAAGCCGCTGATTGACGCGTCACTGTCCCCACGGCAGCTCGTTGTGGATGAGAAGGCAAACATGATGTTTATCCGGACATCCAAGGGTGAGTCGGCGCGTGGTGAATGGTGTTTGTGCGGATGTGTGCGGTGGCATTTACTGTCGTGCCTTTGCACATACACACAAGCTCATTCCACGCTTACATGCACGCTTACGTGCACACTCCTCTCAAACACGCATGCACACACACACACACATGCAGAGGCTGGTGTGGACTTGAAAGGGACACAGAAGCGCGGCAAGGGCGGGTCGCTTTACATCGTCCCGCTGGTGCGTTGATGTGCGCTGACGCGATTGTGAACATCACAAGCAAGCTGCCATGTCATGATGGGCAGGGAGCCGCGAAGTCAGGCCATCCTCTCCCCTCTGTTCCACCACCACCAACATCTCCTTCTCCTTCTCCTTCTCCGTTTTGTTGCCACTTTTTATTGTTTCATGATCACCACGCTCACCCGTTGTATGTGACCTGTCGTATGTGTGTGTGTGTGTGTGTGTGTGTGTGTGTGTGTGTGTGTGTGTGTGTGTGTGTGTGTGTGTGTGTGTGTGTTTTGTTTCCGGACGTTGTTAGGACCTGTTTTACACGGACAAGTTGCCCCTGGACAAGAAGGCGCTGAAGAAACATCAGCTGACGGCCGTGAAAGGACTGCACATTTTCGCTGTCAACCAGGGAACATCCACAACAGCATCGCTCCTCAAGCAGACGTGCAAGCTTGCTGTTGGCATCGGCAAGAAGGTGTGTTTTTGTTTGTTTGTATGTGTGTGTGTGTTTGGGATGTGCGTGTGCTTGGGGTGTGTGCGCCGGTGTGGTTTCGTGTACGATTTTGCGCACACACACACACCTGTGGACGGTGTTGTGTACACACCTGTGCTTGCGTGCTCGCAAAACTGGATGCACCATTTGCACTGTGATCACAATTCTCGTCTTACGCTTGCGTCGCTGTGCTTTCGCGTTTAGTTGCGAACGTACTGCTACGCGACCGTGGGCATTGGCATCGGCGGGCAGTGGAAGCCGCTGGAGGTGAGATAACGCGCTTTCATTTTCTACTCACACATGGATGCTGGCGCGCATGTGCGACCACACACACACACACACACACACACACACACACACACACACACACACACACACACACACACACACACACACACACAACGCCACTGCTCACACGGCTTAAATGTCCACACGCCTCTGTCATGTGCTCCCATTGTTGATTCGTTTGTGATGGTTAGGAGTACACATGTCCGGACTACATTGACTGTCTCACCATTGGCCGTGGCTCGCCAGGATCAGTGGGGCAGGTCAGCATTCACCACAATCACCGTTTACAGCACGATACACACACACACACACAAATACACGCACACACACACACACACACACACAAGTACACGCACAAGCACACGCACGCACTCTCTCTCTTCCCAGTGTTGGCGTGTTCGTGATGATTACTCAAGTACATGCCCCATTTCTATTTTCACCCGCGTGTTCACCATGCGTGTGCGTGCGTGTGTGCTTTTGCTGCTGTGTTATTGCTGTGATGATACAGATTTGCGTTGGCCTCAAATCTGGAGACTTTCAACTCATCGACCTGCAAACATCAGAGGTATCATGCACACTGCTGCACGCGACTTGTCTGACTGCAACTGTTGCTGCTGCGCCTGCACAAAAACACGCACTCTCCCAATCTAACGCCTTCACTAACACGTGTGTGCATACCCCCCCCCCCCCAATTGCGTCGTCCGTTGCCTCATTTTCCCTTCCACCTCTCTTCGCTGCAGGTGAAGGTGCTGCTGAGCGGCACATCGGTTCCCGGTGGAATCAGCGCGTATGTGTGCAGGGAAATTGTGGAGGGCGAAAACGACGACATTATGGAGTTTATGATCGGCTACAACGCGGTGCGTGATCTTTCGATGGTGATTGTGCTGGTGATGGATGTGGTGGTGGTTGTGCGGTTCCAGTTGCGGGCAGTAGAGGCAGTTGTTTGCGTGGTTCAATTGCGTACCACAAGCTCTCCAGAACTGTTTCGTCACACACACACACACACGCTCACTCACACACACACACACACACACACACACACACACACACACACACACACAATCGCCACCACCATCATTACGGGTTGTGCTGTGCAGGTGACGGAGTTCATCTCTGCCGCTGGCGAGAAGACGCGGCCGTTCACCATCAGCTGGCGCAGCCGACCAACGGAGCTCGGTGCGCGGTGATGCTGTGCTCTCGTTCCATTGGGTGGTGCAGAGAGCAGAGGGATAGTGTGTATGTGTGTGTGTGTATGCATGTGCGTTTGTGCTTGGATTCTCGGTTGTGAAATCGCTTTGCATGAATTCTGCATTGCCCTTCAAAGTACCTCATTATGGTTGTGCCACCGCTTGCGTGATGATCCCCCTTCCACCTTCAGCGTACGTGTACCCCTATTTGCTCGCGTTCACGTCGTCGGCCATTCAAGTTTCCACGCTCATCAACGGCAACCTCGTCAAGGTAAAGCACGCACACAAGTGAACACGCACGCATGCAGGCACAAGCTAACCAGCAAACAAACCAACGACATCCTTCTTGTGTTCTTCCCGCACCAGCTCACATTGATCCTCCCGCGTACATATGTGTGTGTGTGTGTGTGTGTGTGTGTGTGTGTGTGTGTGTGTGTGTGTGTGTGTGTGTGTGTGTGTGTGTGTTTCAGACGCTGCCGATGCACCACCCGCGCATGCTGACGTGCAAACAGGACATTTTCTTCACGGCGCTGACAGACCCTAGCGACGTCGAGACCACATCCATTGTCCGCATCTCACGGGTGCGTACTCACCAACCGCTGTTGTGTGTATGCGAGTGTGTGTGTGTGTGTGTTTCTGTTTCTGTGTGTGTGTGTGTGTTTCTGTGTGTGTGTGTGTTTCTGTGTGTGTGTATGTGTGTGTGGACAAGTTTCTCTTTCCTCCTCAATTCCTGCTTTACTGTACGTTGCGAACGTCGCCCTCATTCTTCATCACCTCTGCCCGCCGCCACCACCGCCTCCACCTCCCCGTTGTTCTGCAGAACAACTTGTCTGGTCGCCCGGGAACACCCGACGCATCGGAGCGGCTGCCGAAGCACAAGCAGGTCGGTTGCACGAGGATGCTTGGTCTTGAGTGTGTGTGTGTGTGTGTGTGTGTGTGTGTGTGTGTGTGTGTGTGTGTGTGTGTGTGTGTGTCTGTGTGTGTGTGTGTGTGTGTGTGTGTGTGTGTGTTTCAATTCAATGCATTGGCGCGTTTTCGATTGTTTGTTTAGTTGCATGATGACGGTCATAGCAATCGTGATGGTGATGACAATGATTGAATGAGAGCACATTGCTTGCTGCACAGCAGCCAGGAACATTGCGTACAGACGAGTCTCTCTGGGCGCAAGCTGTCCGTTACCGAATTCAATCTCACGCGCCCGCAGCTGTTAAACTATGGGTCAGCGACCACAAGCTACATATTAGACACAGGCACAGACACAGACACGCACACAGACACACAGACACACAGACACACACACAACACACAAGAGATGACAGTTAGGGCGATGATGGTGCGAGGCAGTGCTTCTGTTTCACACGCCACGATGTCGTGTCGAGAGAGCAGAGCGAATAGGGTGGACAAGAGACGTGCACGTCAACACTCGAGCGGTGCTGCTTGTCACCATCCGGAAACACGGTCGGCGGCAGCGTGATGTGCACGCACGGCGTTTCGGACCTCAGCACCACCGCAGGCAGGACTTGCCCATTCTCGTCTTGCGTAATGGCAATGGTGGGAGCACCAGCAGCGGCACCAGCAGCGGCACCAGCAGTGGCACCAGCAGCGATGGGTTCGCCCTGTGCATCGTTTGTCGCGTCGTCAGATGGTGATGTGGTGCCTTTTGTGTGTGCACGCACGCAAACCGTCCATGTGGCGCCGCTGTCGCATGCGGCACGGAGTTTCAGCTTGTGGACAGACTTTCCGGGCCTCAGGGACATGTGGCGGTGGCACGACTTGCACGCACGCATGCGCGAGAACGATGCCGTGGTATCAGGTTGGTTGTCGTTGTTGTCGTTGTTGTCGCTATCGTCGCTATTGTCGTTGTCGCTTGTTGGTGTTGCAGGTGATGATGATGACGATGGGGATGGTTGGTCGTCCACAACAGCAGCATCAGGAGACCTGTTGCGAAATTTGCGTCGTGGTGGTGAGTAAGATGTGTTGATGATGGTGAATGACCAGTCAAAGCCGTAATAACACAGCGACTGCACAAAGTTGGCGCCTTCCCACCCCAACAACAACAACACACACACAGAGACAAACAGAGACACAGAGACAAGCAGAGACACACAGACAAGCAGAGACACACGCACACACACACACACACACACACACACACACACACACACACACACACACACACACACACACACACACACACACACACACACACACACACACACCCCCCCCCCCCACACGCGCGCGAAACAAACTTACAAGATAGCTGGGCATGACGATACGGAGAGGGTGGCAATGGAATAAGTGTTGGCAGCGGCCCGCGTTCCTTGTACGCGAATGTACACATCAGCGGTGTCGGGCGTTGGGTTGACCAGCCGCATGTTGCCGTTAGCGTCAGACGACACGCTGCCCACCAATCGATCGCCCACATCAAACAGCGCCGCCACTGCACTGCCGCGGCCCGTGAGGAAGGTGAAGGCGAGATCCACCACCTGATATGCGCACAGCTGCACGTGGTACCAGTCATCCCGGCCAGGGCACACGGACAGCAGCGGGGTGCGGTTGGACGGGCCAACCACGTGCACGTTCGCAACAAAGTCGAGGGGTTGTGCAAAGTGGAACTGGTCGTTGGGCTCAAACACATCCGTGTCGGCACACGCACGCGGCGTTGTCGTCGTTGTTGCTGTTGTTGTTGTTGGCATTCTTGTTGCTGGTGCAGTGGTTGTGGTCGTTGTTGTGCCAGTTGTTACACCGGTGGTTGTCGTTGATGGGGGTATTGATGGCGGCACCGTGGTGAAGGCCTGTGCATCGCTGTCCGTGCAGAGTGTTGGGGATGATCGGGTGATGGTGTAGGTGGCGACGCCGCTGCCTTCGACGTGCAGGCGGAGGAAGAGGCGACGGAATGACGCCGACGTGCGAACGCCGATGGTGTGGGCGCCATAGTCATCGCTGCTGCTGCCTGTGATGTACGTGCGACCGAGCACATTGCCGTCGCCATCCAAGACAAAGGCCGCCAGGTTACCATCACCGCGCGTGCGCGTGACACCAATCTCAACAGCCTGGGACGGGCACACGTATGTGTCATAAACATCAACGTCGCTGCCGCACACAGCCCCAGTGACGGTGTGTGTGCGTGCAGTGGCTGACCAGTGCCAGGCTGCCGCCACGGCGTTGTTTGGCTCCTGTGAATCAGCACCACATGGTGCAACAGTTGTTGTTGCTTTTGCTGCTGTTGTTGGAGCTGCTGTTGTGGTTGGAGCTGCTGTTGTGGTTGTTGCTGTGGTTGTTCCTGTTGTTGTTGGAGCTGAGGTTGTGGTGGTGGGAGTGGAAGGGGTGCACACGCGTTGGTCTTCCACGCACAGTTCAGCTTCGCCACACGTTGGGACAGGGGTGCACACGCCGCGAACACACGCGTCGCGGCTGCCACAGAACGTTGTTGGCTGAGCGCAGTCTGTATCACGTGTGCACACAGCAGCGGGGACGCTTCCCGAGATGGTGTACTGGCCCATGCTTCCGTACGCCGAGCCTGCCGTGCTGGCATTGTCTGCGTCCCCGCTGACCTCGAGCGTGTACCATCCGGTGCCGAGGGAGAGGGAGATGGCGGCAGACGGGTCGCGTTGTGGTGCTTCCTCAGCCAGCAGGTCCGCGCCAACACCAAACACACGCACGCGCACGTCCAAGTTGTTGCCGGCTGTGAAGAACGGCGACAGCGCTGCTGGCGTGACGCTGATAAGCACGCGGCCGGGGGTTGTCACGCGGAAGAGCCAGTAGTCGACGTCTGTTGGCGCTCCAATGACGCCATGTGCGGTGACGGTGCCTGATCCTGTCGCGTGCACGAGAATGGGGCGGGTGGCAAGGTCACTGTCCTCATCAGCACGGCGGCCAAGCTGGTGGTGATAGTGGACGTGGTCGTGGTGGTATTTGTGGCGGGGAGGGGAGGAAGGTGAGATTGGATGTGAGCGAGAGAGGGTGGTGTTGAGTGACAATGAGTGGATGTGTGTGTGTGGGCGTGTATTTGCAAGACCATTGAGCTTGCTGTCCTCACCTTTGCCTCAATGATGGCAAAGTCGTCTTGGGTGTTGGTTGCGCCGCTGTAGTCGCCTCTGCTCCATTGCGTCTGGCTGTTGTGAAAGGCCTGGCCCTGTTTGGGTTAGGGATGATGAGGGGCAGGGATGCGTGTGAGGGAGAGAAAGAGGCGAGGGTGGTGAAGAAGAAGCACGTCGGAGCAAAAACACAGTCACACACACACACACACACACAGAGTCACACACACACACACAGTCACACACACACACACACATACACAGAGTCATAGACACAGAGACAGAGACAGACACAACTACAAAATGTACCATAATGGGCGCGAAGCTTGACGGGTCATCAGGGTTCTGATCACCACGGAAGTACGGTGCACGTGCCGTGCCGTCATGCGAGAGGCCCAGTGCGTGGCCAAGCTCATGGGAGATGGTCTCTGCAACCAGGTCACTCCGCCCGCGGTGGAGGTTGTCGTAGTACACTGGTTGGTGATTGGAACAGGTGACAGTGATGGTGGTGGGATGGGTGAGAGAAGCGTGGGGGACATCATGTGTGCAACAAGTGCGGGGAGCATGTGGACTACACACAGAGGGACAGACAGAGAGACAGACAGAGAGACAACTTGACACACGCACACACAGCCACACAGACACACAGTCAGAAACACAGACAGACAGACAGACAGACAGACAGACAGACACACAAACCGAAGCAGGAAGGGGCGCCAGAGGCGTGGGATGCAGAACCAAAGGAGTTCATGATGGAGAAGCCGCCCACAGTGCTGCGTGGCATGGGGTCACCCGTGGTTTGTGTCTTGGAGGTGATGACACAGCGATAGACGTTCGCGCCTGTCCTGGAAGCAGCGGCAGCCAGGGCGGCAGCCTCATCTGTCTGCACGTCCACGTTGAACGGAGAAAAGTCCTCGGCAACGCGCATCCAGATGTCTGTGATCATGGCCTGCTCGAGCGCGCTGAAGTGGCTCGTGTCATCGTCGTCGATGCTGTAGGCGGCCGCGTGCAAGGTGACGCCGTCTGGCTCCAACCCGCCGTGCTGACCCGCGTCGCCAGTTGAGTAGCCGTCAAAGTCGAGGAAGATGACGTTGGGGCTGCCGGCGTAGCTGTGGTGCACTGGCAGGCCCGAGGGCGTGTGTGCAAGCGGCTGCGGCACAACTGCACCGAGTCTCCTGTTGTCGTTGCTTGCTGCCAAGAGCCTGGCGTCCGTGTCAAACACGTCGAGGACCACGTCGCTGTTGCTCTCGCTCGCAGAGACGTGCGGTACAACCACCACCAGCGCCAGCAGCAACAGCAGGTGTGGCACCGCCACACACGTCGATGACCTCATGGTCGCTGCTTGTGGCTTGTGGCTTGTGGCTTGTGGCT